AACTTATAAGTTACTTATTTTGACAATATAATAAGATTTACATTCAATATTGGTAACTTCTAAACATGCTCAGTCAGGCAAGTGAACGCTGTCTACCAGATTACTCGGGAATACCTTGTCATCCATTTCCTTCAAGGCTTTGCTTGATGCAATCTCCTCGGCATGATGTACAAATCCATACTTTTGATTTGCCACTTACATGGTCACATACGTCTGCTGCAAAATACATTGTGTCACTTCCTTGCTAAATAATGTCACATTAGAAGGTAACATAAGAAGTTCATTATGTACCTTGAAGTACTTTGCCATATTTCTCGAAAGCATTCATCAGAACAGATTCTTTGGTATCATAAGAAAGTCCTGAAATTCATTACATTTTTTTTTATAAAAGTGAAATACCTATGTTAACATTTTTAGAATTGAAAACAACTGAATAATGGCATGATCTATGCTTTTTTAGGAAATGAGGGAGTATCAGACATTCAAAGCGCTTCTTTCTTTTCAGTGGGGCAATTTATCAAACATGCAAGTGAAGCATGAGTTATGCTGCATATACAAAGTTATGTTACAATATTAGTTGACAAAATAACATCTACATCAATCATTTTAAAAACAAAATTTTAAATCATTTGAAATCAACGGTTTGGATTTTGCCAACATACTTTGTAACCTAACTTTTGTAACTCAACTTTGTAAAAATAGTTTTATTGAGAGAAGCATACAACTGCATGTGCATGCACGCACATGTGTGATTCTGCGTAGAGAAAGAGAGAGACCTCCAACGAACAAAAACAATTTTGTAGAAGAGTGGCGCAACACAAGCCACCTATATAGTGGAGATGAGACAACTTCTCAGAAAAAATATCTGCATCAATAGTTGCACAGTGCAAAAATCTTGTAATGTACAAAGTGTTGACCCCAAAAAATGAGTTCAACAGATGACGATGAAGTGTTGAAGGATGAGACACTTTGTCCCGAAGTGCTGAAGGATGAGGCACTTGTTGATGAAGTGCTGAAGAATGAGGCACTTGTTGATGAAGTACTGAAGGATGAGACACTTGTTGATGAAGTGCTGAAGGATGAAGCACTTGTTGATGAAGTGCTAAAGTATGAGGAACGTGTTGATGAAGTATTGAAGAATGAGGCACTTGTTGATGAAGTAATAAAGGATGAGGCACTTATTGATGAAATACTGAAGTATAAGGCACTTGTTGAAATGCTGTGGCATAAACAAGGATGAAGCCCTTGCTTGCTGAAGCATAGGCACAGATGAGGCCCTACATATTAATTTAAAGCCACTTCTTCAATGGTCTCCCCTTTTCATGGTGTCTTACAAATGAATTTCTATCTTAGCATATTCACTCTTTCATAGAATATTAGCACTCTAAGTACTGAACTCTTCTCTAAGTGTTTTTTCTTAGGGCTTCCATTAGTTCTTTTTTCAAGGGTTAGAAAATTACTTCCACTTCACTTCCAATTGGCTTCTTTCCACAAGACTCTCGTGGTTAAATGTATGAATTCCCACAAATAACGCCAATTTGTTGATCCAAAAAATGAGCTCAACAGATGCTGGACTCACTCTTGCCACGTCAAGTATGAATCCAACGCGTTTCTACCGTAACGAGAATGGTAGTCTAGCTAGAATGGACGTGGGGACACTTTTCGGCAAGAGATAAAAATGTTCGGACTCCGGCGGTGTGATTTGAAGGCAACCACGCTATCAATGATCGCCAAGCCAAGATAATTAAGAATAAATCTCTCCTTTATAGTGGAATATGTGGAAGGATAGATATAATAAAATGGTGTTTTGTGTTGGAATCTTAATATATTTGCTATTGTGTTTGCAAAATATGTAAAGAACAATATGTATAAATCTTCTTCCATCTCTCTATGTTTCACGAGAGTGAAGGTATATTTTTGTGCTTTATTGTCTGATTACAAAGATCTCAACCACCTTTCTTTACAAAGAGAGCCTATTTATGCTGTCTTGGCTGAGGTGGTGACCATTGGATCAGAATCACATGACCTCATCTCCTTCGTTAGGACGTCACATCATTGTCCATTCATGCAATTAATGCATTGATAAGGGGTCAGTCGCTCTATACAATAGGCTGACACACTATCAAAACTTTATTACAGATATCACATCAATCATTCCTAAAAGATTTTCAAATCTATTATAAGAGGCAGCGTCAACTTCGTGAAATTCGGAAGAGTTAAGATCCTCAGAGAGATCTTTGAGGTGGTCCTCTAAGTGGAGAGTCCCAGCTCCTTTCTTTATTTTCTTAGGCAGTGGTTTAGGTCAAGGTTTGTAGAGCTTCGTCCTTGAGGCAGTGCCTCAGCATGGACCCCAACCTTAGTATGGACCTCGGTTAGTACCTCTTTAGGCAATTTGATAAGTACCTCTTTAGGCACCTCGATTAGTACCTCTTTAGGCACTTTGGCTAGCCATTTGGGGAGCCTCGGTTGTACCTCTTTAGGAACCTCGGTAATTACATCTTTAGGCACCTTGGTTAGTACCTCTTTAGGCACATTGGCTAGCCATTTGGGGAGCCTCGATTGTACCTCTTTAGACACTTTGGCTAGTACTTCTTTAGGCACTTCAGCTAGTCTCATTTTAATGGGATAACAATAGTCCCCTAAGTTTAGGCATAATTATTTATGTAATGCATAGATTTGAAAGTAAAATTGAGATAAAAGGTTTGCGCAGGGGGGGTGGTCTTTACCATGCCCCTATAGTTGGAAACATATTTGATTCATGCAGACCCTCTGCAGGTGATGTCTAGTTGAAATTGATATATATGAGTTGGGGCTTTCTTAGAGCTTCGGATAATAAGATGCTCTCCTAGAGCTTCAAAAAATAAAATGATGTCTTAGAGCTTCTAAAAATAAATGTTCTCTTAGAGCTTCATGCTCTCTTAGAGCTTCGGATAATACCATACTCTCTTAGAGCTTCATGCTCTCTTAGAGCTTTGGATAATAAGATATTATCTTAGAGCTTCATGCTTTCTTAGAGTTTCGGATAATAAGATGTTCTGTTAGAGCTTCAGAAAATAAAATGCTCTCTTAGAGCTTCGAATAATAATAAAATACTCTCTTAGAGCTTCGGGCTCTTCCTTTAGGAATGAGGTCTTCAAGAGATCACCTATTCCTTTTTCAAGGAAAGACGTCTTCAAAATAGTGCATTTTCCTTTCGGAATGAGGTTTTCATGTGCCTCTTCCTGTTTCAAGGAAAGAGGTTTCCAAGATAATATTCTTTTTTTAGGAATGAGGTCTTCACGATAGTGCCTCTTCCTTTTCAAGGAATGAGGTCTTCAAAAGATCGCCTCTTCCTTTGTCAAGAAAAGAGGCTTTCAAGATAATACATCTTTATTTATAGCTCGAATGAGGCCTTTCATGCTAAAGTGTTGAAGCGTAGGTAAGGATGAGGCCTTTGTGTTGAAGAAGTGCTGAAGTATGAGGCACTTGTTGATGAAGTGCTGAAGGATGAGGCACTTTGACCCAAAAAAATGAGCTCAACAGATGCTGGACTCACTCTTGCCACGTCAAGTACGAATCCAACGCGTTTCTATCGTAACGGGAACGGTAGTCTAGCTGGAATGGACGCGGGAGACACTTTCCGGCAAGAGATAAAAATGTTCGGACTCCGACGGTGTGATTTGAAGGCAACCACGCTATCAATGATCGCCAAGCCAAGATAATCAAGAATAAATCTCTCCTTTATAGTGGAATATGTGGAAGGATAGATATAATAAAATGGTGTTTTGTGTTGGAATCTTGATATATTTGCTATTGTATTTGCAAAATATGTAAAAAAACAATATGTATAAATCTTCTTCCATCTCTCTATGTTTCACGAGAGTGAAAGTATATTTTTGTGCTTTATTGTTTGATTACAAAGATCCCAACCCTCCTTTTCTTTACAAAAAAAGCCTATTTATGCTGTCTTGATCGAGGTGGTGACCATTGGATCAGAATCACATGGCCTCATCTTCTTTGTTAGGACGTCACATCATTGTCCATTCATCCAATTAATGCATTGATAAGGGATCAGCCGCTCTATACAATAGGTTGACACATTATCAAAACTTTATTACAGATATCACATCAATCATTCCTAAAAGATTTTCAAATCTATTATAAGAGGCAGCGTCAACTTCGTGAAACTCGGAAGAGTTAAGATCCTCAGAGAGATCTTTGAGGTGGTCCTCTAAGTGGAGAGCCTCAGCTCTTTTCTTTGTTTTCTTAGGCAGTGGTTTAGCTCAAGTTTTGTAGAGCCTCGTCCTTGAGGCAGTGACTTAACATGGACCCCGGCCTCAGTATGGACCTCGATTAGTACCTTTTTAGACACTTTGGCTAGCCATTTGGGAAGTTTCGTTTGTACCTCTTTAGGAACCTTGGTAAGTACCTATTTAGGCACCTCCGTTAATACCTCTTTAGACACTTTGGCTAGTACCTCTTTAGGCACTTGACTAGTCTCATTTTAATGGGATAACACAAAGAATTCACAAATAATCGCCAACCCTTAATTGTCATCATCCTATAAACCTGTAATGTGACCATCAAAGAATGGCAATGGTAATTTCTTTACATAAAGTACTTGCCTTTTAATATGGATAGTGTTATATGTACACAATCTTTTACACCCTTCTTACATAAATGAAACACACACACAATAAAATATTTGTGAACCCCCTTCGAGAGGAGTGTAAAAAATTATGTACACCTTATAATGTATACATAAAATAATCCTTTTAAGCCAGTGAATGTACGGTGGCATGTGGCCTGTACAAAAAATCATTTTCAATGAAAAAACCCAGATAGTCAATCTAACTATAACATCAACATCATCAAATCAACCAAAAAAAAAAGGTGAAATTGGAAGAAAAAATTCAAGAACTGAAGCAAGGGGTTCACTTTTCATTCATGGATTCAAAGAAAAAGGGGTCTAACAACATAACTACACAATACAATCTTCAATTTGTCTCCTACCAATTCTTCTAAAAACTCATTCTGAGCTAAACTAAGCAGCAGCCTTCTTGGGGGATTTGGTAGCCTTTGAGGGTGATTTTGGTTCTTTGGTAGCCTTATCTCCACCAGTCTTCTTTGGCAACAATACTGGATTAATGTTCGGAAGCACTCCACCATAAGCAATGGTTACTCCTTGCAGCAATTTTCCAAGCTCCTCGTCGTTCCTGATAGCCAATAACACGTGCCTCGGGATAATTCTGTTCTTCTTGTTGTCTCGAGCTGCATTTCCAGCCAACTCCAAAACCTAGAACAATTAATCAAATTGGGAATGATCAATTTATGGACCAAAATGAGATCACAATTCAAATCATTATGAACAATAAGAAAGTACTTGAAAATTGGAAGTCAATTAAAGATCCAATTCTTGTGTATCAAATCTACATATAATTGATTATATATTTCCAACATTAATCCAAAGGAATGCATCAATATTAAAAATCAAAACAAAAACCAGATTACAAAACATTAGTTCAAATAATGTTAGAACACAAAAACACAGATCTGAACAGAGAAATGCTACCTCAGCAGCAAGATATTCAAGAACAGCTGCCATGTAAATCGGGGCTCCAGTACCGACTCGCTGGGCGTAGCGACCCTTTTTCAAGTAACGCCCAATTCTACCGACCGGGAATTGAAGACCGGCTTTGACTGAACGGGACACCGGCTTCTTCTTCGGGCCGCCGCCCTTCCTTCCTCCGGCACCCTTCTTCACCTTTGTTGCAGCAGCCTCCATTAAATTAGGGTTAAAATTCAGCAATTAATAATATTCAAATGTGAATTCAGGCGATTGAATCGGTTATAGCAAATGGATAAACGGAGTTCGATTATATATAGTGGTGCCGCTAAATTTGGATTGCAAGGATGGAGTGATGAGAACCGTCGGATTTTAATGTAATCGATTGAGTACGATTATTTAGTCTGGATCCGCGCAATCAGAGTTGGACCAATGGAAAGCGAGATAACAATCTGAAATTTTTTATGCTCGTAATTTCATTTTGGCCATTTGGAAATCTTTCCAAACAATTTTGTAACGAAGGAATATGAAAAAGTTGCTTAGACAAATTCGTTTACTTATGTGTTTTATTAGTTATTAATTTAATTAAGCATGTACATGAATTACAAATTTATCGTCACTATCGTGAAATTACGTTGCAATTATTTGGATTATAATGTAGTAGATGCAATAAATGGAAGGACCTCGACTGGAATTAATTAATGTTTCGACTAAGAAGAGGACAAAAAGATTCGTTAAACTCAATATTCATGGGACCTTGACCCAAAGCGCGATGAAAATTTCCCGTCTGATCAAGTGGGGGTAGGGGCAAAGAATATGGTCCCTACTCCGTTTAAAGTCATTTCAAAATATAAGTTTTTGATCACCAAAAAAAAAAAAGAATTAACATCTAAAAGAAACATGAGTTGTTCTACAAATTGAGGGAAAAAAAAGTGTTATCTTTACATGAAAAATGTAAGAGCAACAAAAAAAAAAAAAAAAGGAAAGATGGTAAATGGGATAGGGGATTTGCCCTCGTTCCTAATCCCGCCTTAATCGTGTATGCAGCATGGCAGGAGAAAAAATACTCAACGGGACGTAAAACGAGAATACCTACCTCGATCAGTCACATTGTCATCCCTATGGACAATTAAGATTTTTTTGTTGTAAACTATCGTTTCTTTATTGTTCATTGTATAATATAGAAGAAAGTTGGGAGATTTTCAATTCTTTTAATCTAGGTTAGTATTTTACGGAACTCAAATTAACCTTATTACCAACAAGATCTAATATTAACCAGTCCTTAGTAATTAGTTGAATAGTGGATATAAAACTATTGAAAACACTTTTTATTTTGCTTACGTGACAATTTTTTTAGCAAGCTCGGAGCGGTATATTGCATGATAGTCCGCATCAAGAGCAATATTATGTTGAGGCCCAAACAGAGTGATCATTAGAATCATAAGAAATTTAGGGTCATGAAGAGTTAGATGTTTAACCAGCTTATTTATAAATTTAAATTATTAGACGAGACAAATTAACTTATTTTCTTCACCATGTGTACGATAAATTTATTTTTATGCCTCAAGCATATACACAATATTCATAAATGAACAATAATGAGACGATTTCAAGACTTATGCCTAATTTGATATAAAGTTGAACATGAATCACCTGATAAATATGCGCAAGCAGGTGAATTTCCTATGCTTGTGCTAAATGACAAAGTAATAGTTAAATTTAATTTGTAAGAGCGTATTAAAATTCTATGTAAATAGAAGCAAAAAGAAAAAGTGAATAGAAAGTAAACAATGAAATTCGAGACAAGTGATTAACTTTCTCCTTAAGACAAAATTATCATACAACAGTGCTAATGCATAACGACACTTGTCTCCCTAAATACAACAGATACAATTTATAGTAGAAGCACTTTAAATCACAAGCAATTGCGAACTCGAACAATTTTTGGAAAGTTTTGCAAGAGTTTTTGATATTAATGTTTAATGCAAATGATATAGGATCCATAATTCACGTCCAAAGGGTCCTATTCATAGAAGAGATGTTGTGAGTGAAATGTCACGTCCCAAACTCAGTAACCTTTACGAAGAGAAGCATCCCTTGCTATAGCTGACATCTCGTTCGAGCTACAGTCGACACTGTTCAACGAAGACTTTTTTCACCTGCCTGCATGTCGCTTGAGCGATATGCGAGTGATGGAGTTAAGCAAATTTTCAATCAGTTTTTTCATCTTTTCTTTTCAAGTTTGGACCGCAATTTTTCATTTATCCGGAATTGATTTTGAGATTCCTAATATACCATGACGATCTACTCGACGAGTATAACACGTTAGTCTATTTATATTTATAATTTAACTATCGGATCAAGTCTGAATATTTGTCCGAAATTGAGACAAAGTCACTTTTCCAGTTTTTTACTTAAATGGTGTTTGGTGGATATTAAAATTAAATTTTGAGTAGATTTTGATAAAAGTTTTGAAATATGTTGTTGAAAAGTTGTGGAACCCGTGAAAGATGTGGTTAATATTGATTGTTTGACTTTGACTTGAATTTAAATCAGATTTTAATTCAGACCAAACATGGGCTTAATCAAATTTTTCAATCTTTAAACCAAATTCCAACAGAACAAAATAAATGCAACTAGTCGAGTCTAAAAAGTTTCGATAAACAACAGTGAAAATCTGCTACGAACGAAAATACTGTACTTAAACGACAAGGAAAATGGAGCATGTTTCAAATGCCTATCTCATGCTAGAAGAACCTGACAGTGCACAATGTGACTCTTCAACCCACTTCGTCCAGCGATACTCGACCATAAATTTGTGAAAAGACTCCGAGCATGCCCTTTAACGAAAATATTTTCCCAAATATCAGGATTACTCTCCATTCGTTTATCGGGATTTGTGACATTAACCATACTGATGCTCAAATTGTTACGTATGATACAAAGCTTACCATTAAGAGGAACAAGAGCAGCAGCCTCCAAAGAAAGCGAGTTGCCAAGGTGAAGCTTGCTATCGATAAATCTATTCCAAGACTTCGTTGCTTCATCATATACTCGAAGCTTACACCCGTCCCGGCAGTCAAGAGCATAAAGCTTTCCATTCAAAGAGATACTCGGGTTGCGCCACCCAGCAATCATTCCATCATTGATCGGAGTCCATATATTGGTTTCCGGAATATAGGCTTCGCTCAATACCTCCCGGTGGGCTCCAAGTCCTTTTAAGTACCACTTCCCATCGTACATGACGCCAATAAATGGCACCATACCCGTACTCATGTCAGCTACAAAACTCCAGCGATTTCTATTGGGATCGTAAACTTCAACTGAACGAAGAGTTCTATGGATCCCATCACATTCTCCCCCGGCTACATAAAGACAGTTATTAATGACACAAGAACCAGAGAAATGCCGTTTACGAAGCATGTCCGGTGCCCTGTGCCATTTATTTGTTCGAGCGCTGTAAAATATTACCCGTCTCATAGATCCCTTTAATGGATCTTTCCCTCCAAATAAGTAGAGGTGGCAACCGCTAAGGACAGCACAACCAAATCCAATGGCCGAACTGTATTCCAGGGGAACGGGTGGGAGTGGCTGCCACAATTGGTAGATTGGGTCAAAGGCATGCCATGAAATCCGCCCATCGCGATCTCTTTTTATAACGTACACCCACTCTTCGGCCATACCGAGACTTTTTCGGAGAGAATAAAAAAAGTTCCTGGAAAGCAAGTTGTACCATCTCTTGCAAACTAGACGAAGCTTATTATGTTCAACACGAGGGACTCGGATTAGACAAGCAATTGCAAGATCATCGGGAAGTCCAGGCAGAAGAGGTGGCTGCACTCTCCTCTCCCTACGGTAACTTCTTGTTTTGTGTGCTCGAGGATTAATATCATGCTGGATACAAAGTTTTGATCCTGGGACAAATTTTCTTGCTCCAGCAACTGTTTTCAGGCCTGATTCGACCTTGCAATAGCATGATACAGAATCAACCTGTAAAAAATCCCAGGTTATGATATCAAATTGTACATACCAAAAACTTTACGGAAGATTAATGACACGAAATGCAGAAGCTACAAGCAACTCGACGATTCATCCATCGTTTCACTTCCTTTTACTCTATATAATTCCAGATCTTTGTATACCATGCTGTACACAGTTTTGGCCCATAATTTACATCAAAATGTTTAGGCAAAGCAGGAATCGCTATATTTATTATTTGTTCATCATATTCAATTAACGTCCTTGAGTTGAAGGTGGGACGTTAATTACATACTGCCCACTCATCTGCTGCTATAAAAATTGTCGCCAAGCAATAAGCATAAGAACCAATTTGGAGTTAATTCAAGAACCGTGTAATAATTAATTCAAGAATTGCCAACACCTACTATTTGCTGCGTGTTTCTCATTAACTCCAAACTCCAGTAACTGTGATATACAAGTTCTTTTTTTCTCTGTTTTCCTTCTTGTTTTTTAGTTTTTAGTTCTATTTAACTTGGTGCCTTTTTTGCCCTCTTAAAAATATCAGCTATTAACCTTGTAACAATATAGAATTCGCATAAATTTATGGCACAAAAAGCTCATCTTGTTTCAACATTCTAGTTTTGAATTTAATCACTAAATGTGACTTCACCTATATTAGAACCCATGGGTTAACTGTGCGTAAAATGGCACTTCACGTGCAAGAAGGTAGGCAGGGAGCCTGAACTTCGCTATGTTATGGACTAAATCTTAATCCCTGTTGTCGAGAGCAATAATAATCAGAAAGTAATCACGTAACGAGCAAGCACACACAAGTTTATAGTGTTTCACTTTTAAAATGAGAGCCAATTCCATTCACTGCTACAGGTTTTCACTATATTGGAGAAGAAGTAAACGAATTATCTCACCCCTTTGTTAGTCAAAAACAGCCCCTCTAATAAATCCTTTGTGCAGTAGGAATACTAAAGTGATATAATGCACGTAGGAGTGCCAATATACTATATTAATAAAATTGCCTCGTATGTTCCCCATCTGCACAAAGGTTAATGTTGGATCTATGGAGTGTACATAGTATGATTAAGCTCCTCACAAGGCATGAGGTAATTCAAATTGTGCAAAGAATAATTCAAGCTGTGAAGGTTTCAAGAAGCAGCCACACTTCGTTCAACATGATGTATTGAAAAGAGAAGAATAAAGGAGAACATATGTAGGGCTGAAGTAGAAGCAAATAGAAAGAAACCGGGAACTTATAGTAAGATTTAGAAAGAAAGAGATGGCCTTGTAGTTCTTATGTTTCATATAGTAAAAACTAAAATGTCCCGTTAAAATAAACTGAGGTATGTACCAACGACTAATTTTCATGCAAAAAGGATGTGAAGACTAAATCTTAACACTTTTACAAGAAGAAACCAGGCCCATATTGAATATCCAGTTAAACTTAACACAAAACTGCCTTTCTAAAAACGACAACTACTAGAAAATCCAACAGTTCCATTGGGATCTTATCACTATGTAAATGGTAGTTTTAAAGCTTACGCAAGATATGCTCCATTAAATGAGGCAAGTATAACAATGCAAGAACAATAAAATAAGGGATAATGTCAAATTTTCAATTGGCTCTCAAACACCTTCCGCATTCAATTTGAGTCAAAATAGCTTTGAAACACTGATGACGATTTCCCACCATCCCCATCCTCACTCTGCCACCATCACTTATTTTTCTCATGTAAAGTGGTAGCCTACGCTACATAGTTAACAACTGAAATAATTGCACTCATAACATTGTCCACAAAATCAAACCTACATCAAAGAAGGAATAGTAAATCCGAACCCCCCATTATAGACATATAGTATATGTTGGGCATTGGTCAAAACTCGACAATTTAATGAATAAGATTTTAGTTTCTTCTCTTCCTTAACACCGTCTAGCGGTGTCTAATAATTCTTACCAAACATGCTAATAATATCTTCCTATGGCAAATATACTGTGTTTTATTCATCCTCAACAGATAAGACGCAGACCACGTACAGAAACTCATCTCAACTAATAAAATTGCTTAGACAAGATTAATGATATTGATAGTTCAAACTCAAACTCAAAGTCAAAAAACAAAACAAAAACAAAAAGATTGCCATTAAAGATTGTACCTTCGACACAATATTTGCCCAGTATCTTCAAAAACTAATGAAATAGAAACCCATAATTCAGAATTCAAGAAAAATATGCAAAATAAATGCTCCATAAACACCAAGAAATCTTGCACAAAAACTGCACATCAATTTCTTTCGGGCATCTCCAAAAGCTCATGAATTCAAGAAATTAACAGCAGAAAAAGGTCAAAGATCAAGCAAAACTCACTAGTGGAGCTTGAACTCTGAAACCCCTGTTTGCATTTGAAGACCTCTCAATATTTTGCTCCATAATTATTAAGAATGGCTTATCATATACATATAAATCAAATTTACACCTTTTCTTGAGAACTCAGATCAAGAAATTCAAGATGCAAATCTTGAAATCTAAAGATTATTCAATAGATAATAAAAATGGAAAAGAATAATTGGTTTTACTAAAAATATTTGAGTTTTAATTATAGAGGAAAGTAGATTTTCAAGCCCCATATGGAAACAAGAAACAGGTAGCAAAATTTTATGTCACTGACATGTATATATACACACAGATACACACAGTAGATTTGTTTAATTGTTTCTCCAATTATAAAATTAAAGGCCAACTGACTATCACAGACTAGATAATTAATGCATTAATTATATTATGTAATCTGGGAAAAAAACAATTTCAAGTCTAGTTGCAGACAAGAAACCTCCTCAAAATTTTCAATGTTTGAATTAATAAAATGGGCCCAGCAGTGTGTGAAAGAGATAGAAGGGAATTATTATTATTATTATTATTATTATTATTATTTTGTCTAAAGTTGATTTTTTTATATTTTGATTGTTATTAAATATGTTACAATTAAATGTATCTAGTTCTAAATAACAATTATATTTATTATACAAATACTTATATTTATTGTAGAAGTTCTAAATCTTTTGTAAATCCATTTCTGATTTATAATGCTCGTAAGTTGTTAATTATTTCGGTTTCTTGTGCTTGTTACTTCTAGGGTGTTAGTGTTTATGGAATGTTCTCCTGTCTACGGTGAGCAGAATAAGACTGTCCACCTGCTGATGTGGCAGGAGAATCCAACGTTGGGTTCTCTCCAAATATGAGAATCTAACGTTGGGTTCTCTCCAAGTTGACATAATAAAACTTCCCACCGTAGGCAGAAGAACATGTCTGTTTGTGTTTAATGATTGTTGTGAAGGCAATATCAAACTTTCTAATGAGTGTTCCATTGAATCAACTTATTATTAGCTTATTTTTTAATTATTTATATTTTAAAATATTACTTATATTGCAATATTTTTAATAAGATGTAAGTTGATATGTCAAATTAACGGGTCCATTGAAAAACCTTTTTGTTTGCACAGTACGGTAGGGACCAATTTACATATCTTAATAAATAATTATGACGGCAAATAATCTATGTTTTGTTATATAATTACTTTATTATGAAAATCATTGAATTTAATTACAAATATATTATATTTTAGTTGCTTACATAATAATGCTACATAACATCATTGTAATTAGTGATAATTCCACATTTTTGGTCAATCTGGTCCATCCCCATAATGGACGATTCTTTACAAATAGATAGTAAGATTTTTCCCTTTTCTGATATCAAATGGATCATAATTTATGTACCAAACTAGAGTGCAATACACACATTCATACATTATTTATGTAATTGATCAACACTTTTTAAGAACATCATGACATACTAAAAGTACCAACGAGACATATGAATGAAGTTTGATTATGAATTAGACTATCTACAGAATTTGCAACCTCTCGAATCGATTATAATCTTCTTGATATGTCAAGTCAGGGAGAAGATGAATCTAGTTCAAAATAAAGGGTGAATAGAATATGTGCAATTAAAGAGATTATAAAGAGAAAAAATGAAATGTAAATCGAGAGGAACCATATTTTGTCTCTCGTTTCATATAGTGATATTACAATCACCTTTTTTGCTTTATGGAAAATATTCATTAGTGAGTAATATATTATACTTTGGGAAGGTCAAAGAACTCCTTGGCTTTTTTAAAGGTTGAACTCCAATCTTGAGGGTCCCCCACCATCCCGCCCCTAGAGTATCGTGGAAGAGGTAAATCGCAGGATGTGCCTCGACAAGCCAGGGTACAAGAGCTGTCATACTGGTGCCCCACAAAGAGTCAAATTTTATACCTTGTAAGAGACAGAAATCGAACCCTTACACTGCGGCTAGGTCGAGTTGACGCTGATGGAGTGACTTGTCCTTTGCGCCATTGAGTTATGCTTCGGGGCAACTCCTCGGCTTTCTTAGTAATATGTGTGGAATGTTAAGAAAATATTATACACATGGTCCCTAATTTACTCTTCACTTTGTATTTGGGTCTATTTAATTTTTTTCGACAAACAATCTTCAACTTTAAGCTTTTGTACCAAGTAGATCACCATATATAACTCCATCCAATATTGCTATGAAGAGTTCCATTAAAGATAATATTTAAATAACTAAATATCTTGTTTCTCCATTAATCTGAACTTTTTTAAGCAAAGTGATTTAATATGATACTAGTTCATAAGAATTGGGTTCTAGTACATTGCTACCCATTTAAATAAAAAAATTATTGTGTTAGTTCTTAAGTAAATATAGCTTGTATGTCGAGGGAACGTGTTAAAAACATTTAAATAAAGCAATAAAAAACCATATAATTATAACATGTTCAAGATGTAGCCACACTTTGTTAATTATTTCTATTTCTTGTGTTTGTTACTTCTACGACATTAGTGTTTAATGTTTGTTGTAAAAGTAATATCGAACTTTCGAACGAGGGTTCCATTGGTATGAACTGAATCAACTTATTATTAGCTTATTTTTTAATTTTTATATTTTAAAATATTACTTATATTGCAATATTTTTAATAAGATATAAGTTGATATGTCAAATCGAACGGGTCCATTGAAAAACCTTTTTGTTTGCACAGTACGGTTACATATCTTAATAAATAATTATGCCCTCAAATAATGTATGGTTTGTTATATAATTACTTTATTATGAAAATCATTACACTGAATTTAGTTACAAATCTATTATATTTTAGTTGCTTACATAATAATGCTACATAGTAATTAGTGATAATGCCACATTTTTGGCCAATCTGGTGGTAAGGGATATGATTCTTTACAAATATATCATAATTTATGTACCAAAGTAGAGTGTAATACACACATTCATCCATTATTTTTGTAATATTGATAATATGTAATTGATCAACGCTTTTCAAGAACATCATGACATACTAAAAGTACCAACGAGACATAGGAAGGAAATTTGATTATGAATTATACTATCTACAGAATTTGCAACCTCTCGAATCGATTAGAATCTTCTAGATATATCAAGTCGGGTAGAAGATGAGCCTAGTTCAAAATAAGTGATGAATAAAGTATGTGCAATTAACGAGATTATAAAGAGAAAAAATGGAATGTGAATCGAGAGGAACCATATTTTGTCTCTCTTTTCATATAGTGATATTACAAATACCTTTTTTGGTTTATGGAAAATATTCATTAGTGAGTAATATATTATACTTTGGGAAGGTCAAAGAACTCCTTCGCTTTCTTAGTAATATGTGTGGAATGTTAAGAAAATATTATACATATGGTCCCTAATTTACTCTTCATTTTGTATTTGGGTCTATNGTGGATCTGGGAAATGAGGGTAGAAATGAATTAAATGATATGTGGCATGGTGTGAGGTTGGGTGATGTGTATTATATACTTGAGCTTTAAAAAGATAAATTTCGTAAAATGTGTGAATGAAAAATTAATAAAAGGAGAGGCAGGTAGGTACATGTGGGTAACATGTTACCAACAAGGTGTTGGACACCTGTTTGGTCAACCATCCAAATCCGTGTCCTATTGAAAATGGGACAAGTAAAGGAATCTTAACACATGTTTCCCCAATAAATTTTCTTGTAAATTTTATAATGTGACACATTAGAGTGGGGTCCACTGATTAATTAATCAGCGGGCCCCGTCCTAATGTGTCACATTGTAAAAACTTACAATGTGCTAATGATTGTACATCTAGCATGTTTGAAATACTTTAGGCTAGATTTTTCTAAAATTTCTTATACCTTGTTTGATTTGGATTAAAATTCAATTAAAATCTCATATCAAAATTAACAATTAATTTTAACTACACAAATCATGGCCATAACTTTTCAACAACACGTTTCATCAACTTTTATCAAAATCTAATTTTAATCTCTATCAAACAGGGACTTATTCAAACATGTTTAAAAACAACTTCTTAGTGTCAGAAGAAACTTTTGACTTTTCAAAAGGCCTGCCAAAATGGGCCATTAATCTCATTAAAAATGAAACTTGATTTGTAGTTGATACCTACACTTCAAATTCATGGCTCAAAAAGACGACAATATAATTGCAAGATTTTCAACAACTAAACATTCATACTCAGCAAACTTAAAACAGATTCTCTGCAACTAATCCACTGGAAAATTATTAATTGTATATTGAAATGACCTAATGAAAAATAATAATAAGTTAAGATAGAAAAAAGCCAATTACACATATACAAGTCGAGATGATATATTATATACATTGTACCATTTGGATCCATTCAACTAGGGATAAACTAAGCTTTTATCTTTTCATCCATCTCAAAAATATAAGAAAAAAATTAAGGAGAAAATGAATACTATGAGAATCTCTGCACTAATGCTAGAATATCACAATTTACAACAGCATCACAAGATAACAATCAGCAAAAGAAATTACATCGAAAAACCTGTGAGATGTACAACTAGAATGCCCTTTCAACATATTCCACCACGACGAGGTTTAAGTCCAAAAATGTCAGCAAGCTCGTCAGCATTTTCACATCTCAAATCATATAACCACTGCAATATCTAACCCCCACCAACCCCACCTCAGATTGAATGACTTTTTCAAGTACAGCCGAACAACTTCAATACGAAAAAGGGGTTATTCAAAATGGAAAGGCTTGATTACCTCGAGCTCGAAAACGACAAGTTTGCTAACATGACCAATATTTGCAGTAGCAAGTAGGAAAATGTAAGGTTGTTAGTCCCGTGCAATAGTCGTGACAGGGCCATGAGCTTCACCAGACGCACTGGAAGCGCCATAGCTATAGTTGACATTGCTGTCACCATAGTAGTTCATACCAACTTTACTAAAAGAGGCATCACTTCGAAAATCATGACTGCTGTTGACCCCAAAAAATGTTGCCAACAAATGTCGGGTCCACTCATGTACACGTAAGCTT